TAGTTCCCTTGGATTAGAATTTGGTATTTATCTGAAAAGAAGATTTCCGTCGCATCAAATTTCATGCAGTGCATTTATGAAGTCTTAAATGTTGACGAAATCAAAAAACTAATTACAATAGTTTAGTTGTGCTTTCTTGATTTAACGTTTTGAGTCTAATTAGTCAACGATGAGGACAATTATTACCAAATAAAGCAAAACGCTACAATAAGCTACAAGTGTATGTCGAATTTTGGCGGCGCCGATTCAATGGGTGAACTAAACAGGCCCCTAGTATGATTTTTCCTTCTACGGCTGCAATTTTCAACTTTTTCAACTGTACCACTTCTCGATCTTTCTTTTCTTTTCCTCTTCTCGTCCGACTCTCGACAAAATTGCATATTTAGGGCTCCAAAGTTGGATTAGGTTGCCACTCCGGAGGTGGATGAAAATGGGGCCATCTGTGTCTATAAAGACTCCGACAGAAGCACAAGCACCGCCCCTGCACGCGCTAGGGTTGCGGGCGCCGGCGCCACCACACCATTTCGGGCGGCGAGTTTCTCCAAGCAGCCGGTTCCTCTCCGGTGGTCCTCTCCGCCCTCTCCTCCTCCCCGAACAATCAACGGCCGCGTCCGCGTCCAGCCTGGCTGTGCACCGCCGCTCGTCAGGGTCCTCTCCAGCGTCCTCTCTGCCCTCTCGTCCTCCTCCCCGGACACCTTGTTTTGCCGGCCGGAGGTATTAAACCCCTCCCCGCTGTTCAGTGCTCGCATTGTATGGATTCCTGTGGGGATTTGTGTTTTAGGTTCAGTGTTTGTGTGTATGGATTGATGTGATGTTTCTGTTCAGTGCTTGCATGTACAAATTGATGCCAAAATCCCTATGCTCGCTTTCTTGTTGTTCGCTAGTGTAGTGTTGTGCACCAGAATTCGTGACTTCTTCACTGTACGCCGTAGCCAACCTGACAGCATTTGTGAATGGTCACAGAGGCAACCTGACAGCACTTGTATTCCTATTAATTTTTTTGGTGCTGTGATCAGTGGCCAACCTGACAGCATTTGTGAATGATCACAGATCCAATCTGACAGCACTTGTATTCCTATTAATTTTTTGATGCTGTGATCAGTGGGATATATTTTTTAACACATTGTTGTTGTGATAACTAACTTCAATGAAATATATTTTTTGCTTGATTCAAGCATGGCAGAGAGAGAGCGGATTGAGTGGTGCCAATTTGAGGCATTTCATTGATATTTGCAAAGGAGAGATCGAGGCTGGGTTCAATAGAGCCAGTTGGGAAAAAACTTGTAGACAAATTTGAGGAAAAAAACAGGTAAAAGACTAACAAAGAAACAATTGAAGAACAAGTGGAATAATATGAGAAAGGAATATACATGGTTTATGGAGTTGAAAAATGCTGCCACTGGACTTGGATGGGATGATGCAAAGCAAACAGTTGACTGCGCTAAAGAATGGTGGGATGAACACCTTGCTGTAAGTTTTGCACTACATTTTTCTTTTATTCAATGATCATGATTCTATATGGTTGCACTTGCTAACTTTTTTAATTTGATTTCAGAGATGCAACAATCCTGAGAAGGGGATCAAATGCAATCATATGAGGTTCCAAAAACATGGACCAAAGCACCTTGATGATTTGCACATTATGTTCGGTAAGATTCATGTTAGTGGGACCACTGCAATTTGTCCTGGGGACATATTATCGGATGAATCAAGTAATGATGATGATGTGACCAAAGTGACAAAAACTTCAGATGCCGAGGATTAAGCCTGTCGTTGGGGAGGGTATGGATACACCCGTACGTATCCATACTCATACCCATATCTTGCTTATCCACATGTTCCCCTCCCGACTTTTATTCATACCCGATTTCCCCATATTCATTAGATAATTGAGCAGTGACTAACTATGTATGTCTCCGGCCTCATCGTCATAAGCTAGCTAAGTAGAAATGCCCTACGCTCGCTGCCGGGTAGTCGATCAACAGCAACGCCAAGTCCTCCTCGTTGCCTCTGCCGTCCGTCTCGTTCCGGGCGCGCCACACCTTGAAGAGCTCCTGGCGGCGGCGGGCACGTCGGCGCCCATCTGCGTGTTGACCCAGGAGCAACGCCGGCCACGCCATTCATGCAGGAGACGGCAGCTATGTCATGGGTACTTCCTGTGTACGTACGCGAACTTGTGGTGCCGAGGTAGCCGACGTTGAGGTCGATCCGCGGCTTCTTGCTCACGGCCGGCGCCGGCGCCGGTAGGGCCAGGACATGGGACTCGCACCGCAGGTCGGTCCAGGAGATGAGCACGTACAGGAAGCACCTGGAGCACGCCACGGCCACCATCCCGCCGCCGCCGCCGGAGGGTGAGTCGCAGCCGTCGCCTTGCTCCCACGCCGACGCCGTGGCGCTTCACGGAGGACGTGGTCACAAACGACGACGACGGGGACGCGCCCGCACCGCTGTGCTGCTGCTGCTGGTGCGGATGGGGCTGCTGCTGCTTGCCGCGCTCAAACCGTTCCAGGGCCGTCTTCACCTTCACGATCGTGCACACGCTGTGGTATGTCGTCATGGCGCTGACCGCGGAGCCGGGGCTTGGCGCCGGCGCCGGAGCCGGGGCCGTCGTCACGGCGCAGGGTTTCGTGGCTGCGGCGACCGGGAACAGGTTGAGGTCCCTCGCGTTGCCGTCCATGGAGAAGGATGCACAAGATAGATAGAATACCCTCCCGTACCCGTTTCTCAACGGATGTTACCCATACCCGAACGGGTATGAGATTTTCTATCCATACCCTCCCCGTTTCACGTGGATATGGATTTGAATACTGGGTATGAATACCCGGCGACAGGCTTACCGAGGATATCAAGTTAGCTGCATTCAAGAAAGCAAAACCAAGAAAGAAGAAATGCTAGTACTCCTCAAGTGCTACTAAAGAGAAGGATGAGAAGAGCCCATTCTTTCGATTGTACAGAAATACATGTTTGAAGATCCAATCTGCAGCAGAGAAGATCACCAAAAGTGTTGAAGCGTCATCAGCTCCTCCAACCAATCTGGTCCCTAGCATTGCAGAGGTCATGAAGATGGTGAAAGGTTGTGGTGTGCAAGAAAAAACTGCTTTGATGCACACATCCATGTCCTTGATTGTGAAGCCTGAATTTAGGGAGTTGTTTAGCTTCGCTTGAAACTAATGAAGGGAGGTTCGATTTGCTTAAGAGGGAGCACGAGGAGGATCCAACCAATCTGGTCCCTAGCATTGCAGAGGCCATGAAGATGGTGAAAGGTTGTGGTGTACAAGAAAAAAAGCGCTTTGATGCACACATCCAGCGTCCTTAATCGTGAAGCCTAAATTTAGGGAGGTGTTTAGTTTGCTTGAAACTAATGAAGAGAGGTTCAATTTGCTTGAGAGAGAGCACGAGAAGGAGATGATGAACCGCATCTAGAATATTTTCTTGTGTGGAGAAGGTTAAAGAGGACCGTTTATTGCCCTTATTTCAAAGTGCGATTGGAGCTATAGATGGTTCGCATGTTCTAGTTTCAGTGCCTGCAGAGGACGTGGTTAACCACACATGTCGACATGGATATACATCTCAGAATGTGCTTGCTATATGTGACTTTGACATGAGGTTTATTTTTTGCGGTTGGTAGTTGTTGGTTGGTCAGGCACAAGGCACATGACACAAGGATCCTATCATGGATTAGCAAATTTTCTTTAGGCTTTTTCGTGCCTCATAAAGGTAAACATTTTTCTTACTAAGTTACCAAATGATTTCATTATTAGTTGCTTATATTGAATTGTATTTTTAGGAAAATGTTATCTCGTCGACTATGGTTATCCAAACCGAATAGGGTATCTTACCTCTTTTAAAGGAAGCACGTATTATATATCCAAACCGAATAGGGTATCTCGTCGACATGAGGTTTATCCAAACCGAATATTAGTTGCTATATCCAAGTTTCATGATAAGGAGTTTGATAATGTGATGCGGATGAGGAGTATCTATCAGAAGGGACATGTGAATTGTGCGGCGGCACAAACACAAGAGAGAGTCTTTTTTTTTTCTTTTTTGATAGGCAAACACAAGGGAGTCATGATGGGAAAGATGGGGAAACGAGGATACCATGAATATCATTCGCATTAGGATAGCTAATGCTTTGGTTTAGTACGAGAGGTAGATAGATATATGGTGACACAAGACGTCATTATATGAACCATATGTCGTTTGTACTAATCTAGCAATCTATTTATATGGACCATATGTCTACAACGGATGTAGTATATTAAAAAAATGTAGTTTCCCATTCTAAGATCTTTATTCATATGTGGATAATTGAATTGATTAGTGTCTTACGATCAATTAGCATATAATCGATCTTTTTAGACCTTTAGGGCATTACAACTTTCTCGTAGTAGCTCATTGTAGCTTTTCCACATCTCATAGGCTAACCAAACACACCCTAAATACTAAGTCTGGATGAATATGTTTTGCTCCCACCATAAGACACCGAATTAGATAAGCTATTTTTTTTCTTTCATCATAAATTAAATTGTAACTACATTCTGATGACTATTTTCATATAATTCCTCAGTTTATTTTCTGTTAGAAAAAATATGTCAACCATGACATCAACGCAAACACAGAAAGTGAAGAAAAAGAGGGAAATATCAAGAACTATCCAAAGTGATCTTAAAACGCCCTAGAAAGAAGTTAAAGAAAAAACGCCCTCGAAAGTCAGCAACTTTGTTTTGTCATCTTGCGAGCGGCCCACGAGTCGTCCACATCTCCACGCTCCCACCCACAAACCAGGCCCAAACCAAACCCCTCATGCCCCACATGTCATCCTCCCGCCCCAACCCTAGCACCGGCATTCCGATCGCTCCCTTCCCGACCCCACATGTCATCCACCCACCAACGACCTCACATATAAATACCCTTCCGTTCGCAAGGCCACCACGCGCCCCCAACCTTCCAGGGGAAAAAAAAAGAGCAGACCCCCAAATCGGAATCCGCATCCATCCATGGCCGCCGCCGCCCTGCTCCGCCGCTCGCCGGCGGCGCGCGCGCTCCTCTCGCCGGCCCTCTCGTCCCGCCTCGTCGCGTCCAAGTCCCACTCCTCGTCCCCCGCGCCGCCGCCGGCGGCGGCGAAGGTCGCGTCCAACACGAAGACCTTCTCGATCTACCGGTGGGACCCGGACTCGCCGTCGACGAAGCCGCACCTCAAGGACTACCAGGTGGACCTGTCCGACTGCGGGCCGATGGTGCTGGACGCGCTGCTCAAGATCAAGAACGAGCAGGACCCGTCGCTCACCCTTCCGCCGCAGCTGCCGCGAGGGGCATCTGCAGGAGCTGCGCCATGAACATGGACGGCGACAACGGCCTCGCCTGCCTCACCAAGATCTCCTCGGCGTCCTCGGCGTCCACGGTCTCGCCGCTGCCCCACATGTTCGTCATCAAGGACCTGGTGGTGGACATGACCAACTTCTACAACCAGTACAAGAGCGTCGAGCCGTGGCTCAAGCGCAAGGACCCACCGCCGCAGCAGGGCAAGGAGATCCCGCAGACCAAGGCCGATCGTGCCAAGCTCGACGGCATGTATGAGTGCATCCTGTGTGCCTGCTGCTCCACCTCCTGCCCGTCCTACTGGTGGAACCCCGAGGAGTACCTCGGCCCAGCCGCGCTGCTCCACGCCAACAGGTATACCAGCATCATTGCTACCCCTTTGATACTGAGATGGATGATTGCTGAGTGATGTATGCTGGATCTGTTTGATGATTGCTGAATGATATGTGATTGATCGGTCGTGAGTCATGCTCTTCTGATCATGAAGTAATTCCATTTGAACTGTTTGATGATTGCTTAGTGATGTGTGATTGATCGGTTGCAAGTCATGCTCTGCTGATCATGAAGTAATTCCAGTTGAAGTGATGTGTGTAGATTGTTTGATATAGTTGATAGCTTAGCTACGTGAGCCTGGAAATGATTGTGATCCAGGTAGATTGCCAATTGAAGTGATGTGTGTAGATTGATATAGTTGCTAGCTTAGCTACGCAAACCTGGAGATGATTGTGATCCAGGTAGATTGGTTATTGGTCTGATGTCTTGATGAATTGTTTGTTCCTTAGATGTGATGATCCTTTGTTGTTTATATTGGTGGCAGTAACACCCATGTGAAGTGGTTCCATGATCATGATTGGGTGGCTGCTGTGACTATGATCTGATGATATTAGTATCACTAGTGAAGGAAATGTGTTGAATGCATTTCTGCAGAAGATCGCTTAGACAGCTTTAAAGGCATTGTGGTTCTAGTATTCTTCTAGCATTTAACTTATGAGTTGCAAACATGTCACATCGCCCAACTTAAATTAACATATGGTGGATGTTTTGGTGAATCTATTCCTCTGATAAGTTGTTTGGCAGTGGCGTGCTAAACTGCTAACCTCTCTTCCAGTATAGAGAGTGCTAGTTCCTCGCTTCATCACCGTTAAACTACACTGATGATCAAGCGAATTTAAGATGCTAAAGCCAGTTCTTGTGGATTTGTCTGCACTTGTTTCCCTTGAATGATAGCTGTCTAATATGATAAATTTTCTTTGTTCTAAGTTTTAGGATGTTGCTAAGTCCATGACACGTTCACCCTTTTTAGGCTTCCGCTGTGGGGACGCTTATCAAACCAAAACCCAACATGTTCATGCACCTTCAAGCTCGAGGATATCACGGGTGTCAGAGAAGAGAAACCTGCGGGACCACAAACGTGGGTGCTTGCAGAAAAATATGAGCTGAGGGAAAGCTGTATAAGGCTGTCTGTAGGGACCCTGATCTTCCATTGGATATGCGGGAGAAGTTCCGCTATAAGTTGTCCAAGTTGCCAAGAAATAGCTCCATGACACGCCTTAGAAACCGCTGCATTTTCACAGGCCGGTCTCAAGGCTGTCTACAAGAAATTTCGCATGTCCCGTGTTGTGTTCCGCACATTGGCAAACAAGGGTGAACTGATTTGGCGTAAAGAAAGCATCGTGGTAGATGCTAACGAGCCAGTAGAAAAAGCGCTAGCTCTGCAGTAGTACAAGAAAATAAGGTTGTTTACATGCAACCTTTCAGTGTGTGATCCCTGAAACAAGCTTTAAAGTTTCTGACCAGCAGCCAATTTTATTTAAATATTTTAGCTGAATCAGTGTACTGTACTGTTTTTTTTATATATATTATGCACTTATGAAGTTAAAGGATCAGAACTTGTTTCTGAATGCAGATTTTTTTTCTGTTATCTTCACACTGGGTTGTGAATATGTTGCGCTTGTTTCTGTTATCAGTTACTCTGTACTTCATGCTGCTAAGTAGTTACCACCTCACTCCAAAGTTTACATCATGTGCTCAGAATGATTGTGAATATTGTATGTTAGAGTAATCCGACTTCATAAGTTGTTTGTTTCAGTGTTTTTGGCTACTTTTATTCTACCTTCTGGACTTCTCACTTCTCTGAAGTCTGTTCAGCACTCATGTATTTGCGATCCATGCTGATATGTTGAGTCATTTGTTATTCCAGTGTTTTATTTGATTGTATGATCCATACATCAGCTGTTTGATTCATCTTACCTCTGTTTAATTTATTTGATGTCCACATAGAGGGTTTGTGTTAGATCATAGGAACTAAGATATGGCAGTTAACTTTCATTAAATAATATGATAACCAACTTTGTTTGCAGTTAGTGTAATTAATGAACATTAATGTTTTTGGTGTGCAATATTTATATCCCAATGGAGTGATTGTGAAGTACTTGCCCGGTTTGGTTCAGTTTATGAGCTTTGAACTTGTGATGCCCAGGTAGGGCATGCTTGCATTCCACGATGGGTCTTGTGCTATAAAATGTCCATTCGTTGTTCCAGGTGGATACAGGACAGCCGTGACCAGTTCACCAAGGAGCGCCTGGACGCCATCAATGACGAGTTCAAGCTCTACCGCTGCCACACCATCAAGAACTGCACGCATGCCTGCCCCAAGGGCCTGAACCCGGCAAAGCAGATCGACACGATCAAGAAGCTCCAGTTGGACGCCTGAAGGGGATCATGTCTTCCCTTCAAAACGAACATGGAACAAACCTGTGAAGATTTGCGATAAACTTGCCTTTTTTTTTTATTCCGTCTTTGCGTCGTGGTTTCTGCCTGACAAATAATTCCCCGATTGGGGCCTCCTCTCTGATGCTCGCATTTGTGTCAGGTGCAGGTAGTGTAGGGAGTGAATAACTGCTACCTTATTTCATTTTTATGCTGTATCTAATGTGGTACTCTGCAATGCGTTGTATGGATTACTGTCATTCGTGGATGATTTTCGTTGCATTTAACATTTGCTTCACATGCTTGTATACCGAGCAAAGTCATTACTTGTTGGCGCGGTGCTCGTTGGTGCTTTTCCCTTGAAGATTTATTTTATTTTTAACACTTTTTAAAACTATTTTAATTATAAACACTTTTTTTTAAAAATCTAACACTTTTGGTCAGCGCCTATTGCCACAATGCTGAAAAACAACTTTGTCAGCGCCATGCATGGCGGCACGGCAGATGGTCACTTCCCGGGCCATGGCCGCTAACGTGGCAGAGGCTGCCGTGCACACAAAGACACCTGCAATGGCAAGGCTGACATGCCCTAGCCATAGCGCGGCGGTCAAAGCGGCAACAAATGGAACAAGCCACTTCTGTTATGTTCTCACATGAGTTATTTCGTCGTGTCGGTTTAACGAATAGGTTAGTATGAAGGTTAAATGCACGAGACAATCAATACACAAGTTCAGCAATACTAACTTCATCGCAAGTTCGACAATACCTCCGTTCATCGCAAGTTCGACAATACCTCTGTTCAACATAAGCTCAGCAAGTCATAATTACGACACAAGTTCATCAATACATAAGTTCGACATTACTCGACATACTACATGTTCCATCAATATATGGATGTCCGAGTATAAGTGCACCATGTTATCCTAAAGAACTCCTACGACCCAGGAGTATATGGGTACCGCGGATGTCGCTGCCTCTTCGGACGTGAAGGCAGTACATTAGGGGTGAACCCAACGTCGGTACGGTCTCGCTGGCGGTACACTCGGAGGTATCTGCCTTATTGGCCAGACTTGGAGGCCCCCCATGCCATTGATGCTATGCACATGCAGAAAAATGTCTTTGAGAGTCTCATTGCCACCTTGATGGACACAGGCAAGTCAAAGGATGGTCTAAAAGCACGGAAAAGACATGGTGCAGCTAAACGTGATGCCACAACTTCACCCGGTACCTGAGGCTAATGGAAAATACACTCTGCCCATGGCGTGCTTCAACCTAACACCAGACGAGAAGAGAGCTATATGCACTTTCCTGAGGGGGATCAATGTCCCAACTGGGTTTTCAGCAAATATGAAGAAGCTAGTGTCGATGAAGGACTTGTCAATAACACACTGCAAGGCTCATGATTGTCATGTGATGCTGACAGTGTTTCTACCTATTGCAATTAGGGCTATAAAGCCAGAGTTCTTGAAAATGGCCATCACCCACATGTGCTACTTCTTTTCGAAGATCTCACAGAAGACGATTGGCAAGCAAGAGCTGAGTGACCTACATGAATTTGTGGTGGAGACACAAAATCAACTGGAGATGTGTTTGCCTCCTACTTTTTTTGATATAATGCCACATCTCATGATTCACATGGTTCATTAGATACAGGCGCTGGGCCCTTGCTACTTGCATGAAATGTGGTCCTACGAGCGGTTCATGTCAGTTCTAAGTCGATACGCGCATAATCGAACATACCCAGAGGGCTCCATGATAGAGGGTTATAGTACTGAAGAAGTCGTCGAGTATTGTCAAGAGTACCTAAAAGTACAGAAAGGGATTGGTAAACCCGATTCTCGTCACAAGGGTAGGCTGGCTGGGAAGGGCACCAGTGGTAGAAAAGTGTTCATCGACCATGATTACAAAGAGGTGAGTCGAGCGTATTATAGTGTCTTGCAGAGTACACAACTGATGCAACCGTACATTGATGAACACTTGGCTATCATTATGGCGGAGAGAAATAACCGTTTGGATGATTGGGTCATGAAACAACACAAGCAACGACTAACTACATGGTTGAAGGACCAAAACATACCGCCTAGAGAAACCATAGACTCTATTACCATTAGTAGGCTAGCGGAGGGGCCATCGAGACAAGTGACATCTTGGAATGCTTATGACATCAATGGGTATAATGACTATACCCACACAAAAGGATAGTAAATATGTGAACCAAAATAATGGCGTTTGAATAGAGGCTCTCGATGGATCGGGGCAAAATATCCAATACTTTGGCATCATTGAAGAGATATGGGAACTTGGCTATGGAAGGGATATAACGGTGGCCCCGTTTCGATGCCGCTGGATCAAACAACACCAACTGAACGAGATCGGATTGAGAGTTCTGGACCTCGAGAATCTAGGCTACCAAGATGACCCTTGGGTGCTCGCTTCACGTGTCGCACAAGTTTTCTATATGTCTGACCCACAAAGTAACCTCCCCCCGAAGAAGAAGACAAAGCACGTGGTTGCCTCCGGGAAACAGCACATTATTGGAGTTGATGACGTGGATGATGTTGAAGCTTACAATAACTACGATGAGATGCCGCTATTCACAGACTTTCCTAAGAAGATTAGTGTTGTGGAAAAAAACCTCCCAAAGACATATTGCCATGGGAATGAAAATGTGTCAAGGGTAAAGTCGTTACAGCGGGCTAGCTAGTTGTTGAACGTGGAGTGTTTATGTAAGTGTGTGTTTGTAAGACTTTATTTATGGATGCGTGCGAGACTATATATTTATGTACGTGTGTAAGACTACATATTTTTGTATGTGTGTGAGACTACATTTATACATGTGTGTGAGACTACCCTTTGCAACATCTAGATGACTCTATTTGAACATCCACTCTATTACTACTAAAACTCTATGAAATCACTTAACACTTTATGAAATGAAGAAATGATCAAAATAAAAGTAGGAGATCTTGATGAGTTATACAACTTTTATATTCATCACCTTTATAGTTGAAATCATTTAGTGTTTGAAAATTAGGTTTGAAGTCATTTGTTTTTTACGAAATTTAAAATTTGAATTGTTCAAAATTAGTGACAAAGATAGATGACTAGACTAAAATGATAGAGCATGATTTTAGAAAATTTTAGGAAAAAAACCATCATTTGGAGTTAGTATGAGGGAGAAAAACTAGGTATAAGTTTCAAATACAGTTAAAAAGAGAAATCACACTTATTCATCATTGATCATCATGAACAGCTTGTGCTTTTACTTTTAATCTTCGGGTAAAATTTATAACTAGTCTTTCTCCTCATACTAACTCCAAATGTGATGATTTTTTTTCTAAAATTTTCTAAAATCTTGCCCTATCAAGTTAGTATGTTGATTTGGTCATTGTTTTCATTTGACAAAGTTTGAGCCCTTCAAATTTTCAAATTTAAAAAAATGACAAGTTCGAACGAGATTTTTTTCAACCATTAAATGATTTCAGCTGAAAAAGTGATGAATACCAAAGTTGTATAACTCATCAAGATCTACAACTTTTATTTTGGTCATTTCTTCATCTGATAAAGTGATAACAAACATTATTCACAAATCAACATGTTTCTCGTATAGTTCAGGAAATTATGAGTCATATGTGAATTTACGAACAATGTTTACTAATACTTTGTCACATAAAGAAGTGACCAAAATAAAAGTTGTAGATAGTGATGAGTTCAACAACTTTTATGTTCATGACTTTTATTGTTGAGATCATTTAAGGTTTCAAAATCTTGTTTGAAGTTGCCAATTATTGAAATACTAAATTTCAACTATTCAAATTTAGTCAAATGAAAATATGATCAAAATAAAAGTTGTACATATTGATGAGTTCTACAACTTTGGTATTCATGAGTTTTTCATTTGAAATCATTTACTCTTTCAAAATATTGTTTTAAGTTGAAATTGTTTGAATTTTAAAATTTGAATCGTTCAAACAAAGTCACATGACAAGATGACCAAAATAAAAGTTGTACATGTTGATGAGTTATACAACTTTTATGTTTACAATATTTTCATTTTATTTCATTTAATGTCATAAAATTGTAGTCGAAGTTTTAAAATTCAAATTTTTAATTTTTGTTTTTTTTTTTGTTTTCTATATTGTTTTGACTACAATTGTTTATATATATATTTCTTCATATATAGAATAATACAAAATATTATATTTGTGCATATACACAATTGTTTTTATATTACTTTTATTTTGGTCGCAATTGTTTTATATATACACAATTGTTTTTATAATGCAGAATTAATAATTTAAAAAATAAAAATATATTTGTAGGGGCGGTTGGATCAGGAACTGCCCCTACAAATGCATTTGTAGGGGTGGCTGGATCAGGAACCGCCCCTACAAATCATCCCGACTATAAAACTAAGGGCGCACGGGTGTTGTCTCAGTTGCTACGCTTCTCCTCCTCCGCCGCGTCAGTCGCCCTCACGACGCGTCCCTGTGCCCTTCCCCACTGATGTCTGTTCACGCCTCTTCCCCTCCGCCCCTCCCGCCCCTCCCACGCACCCACCCTAGGGTTTCTAGAGGAGCGGCGACGCCGCCGGCGAGCGTGGAGCCTTCAGCCTCCACCTGTCCCAAGACTCGACCTCTCGCCCGGGCGCCCATGCAACACGACGACGCAGAGCTCCTTTGCCCCTGCGCGTTCGGCCCGGCGTGCCATACCCGCAAGACGCCGACGACGAGACTCCTTGGCGCCCGCCTCCTGCTTCACCTCGCCTACCCTAGATCGATTCACCAGCTAAACACGGCCTTGCCGATCACCATGCTGCCCTACTCCCACTACCTGTGTCTTCGCTGACCTTTTGCCAAGAACGAGCATCCACCAGCCTGCCCGCTTCTTCCCTTCCTTCGACAAAATTGAGCACCAAACCCTAATTCAAACTAGTACATGTCTGGTCTGATCTAATCACAGTGTAAGTGTGCATGTATTATGCCTACTAATTTTGTTTTTGGC